TCTTTGACTGGAATTGATCTTGGGTCCCTTCAGTCTGCAGGCCAACGCTTGATCCTCTGAGCCAAACCGGCTAGGGCAAGACCTCAGTTTTTAAACCTGTAGAAGTATTCTTTCATGCCATTCTGCCATAATAATTATGACATGATATTTAAAAATAAAAGAGCCTCAGTAATAGATTAATATTACCTTGAAAAAAGATTTAGGGAAATGGAAACACTATAGAATTCATCACATCAAATCTTCAGCAATTATAATAGCTTATATTATATAAGATTTTATATAAATAACAAGGAGCAGGGGAACAGAAATATTGTCTAAGTAATTGTTCATGTAAATCAATTAAAGAAAGGGTTAACCGAAATTAATAGTTGGACTTTCACTAACTCATCTCCTGAGTTAGTTCTGAGGAAGTTTTGAACATCATATGGTAGAAGACAGGCTATACTTATAAATGATTTTTTACATTTGTGGAGAAAAATACCTATCGGGTCTAGTAATAATTAATGTCGTTTTTAAACATTCGTTTAAAATCTTGCTTGGCGTTGACTTGTATTGACATAACCTTCAAACACGTGGTATCTACAGAACGTGTGAAGTGCAATTAACAATTTTTTCTTGAAAAAGTTTGTGTTTGGTTTGGTTTTTGTTGCAAAACTAGGGCTAAGAAGATGGCGGATGAAGAGCATATTCGGCACTGCATGCTTTACGAGTTCCAATTAGGAAGAAAAGCAAGTGAGGCTGCAAAAAACATCTGTAGTGCTCTTGGTCAAGATGCAATTAGCGCCAGAAAATGCCAGCGTTGGTTTGAGAAATTTTGCGAGGGAAATTTTTCGTTAGATGACAAGAGTGGTCGAGGCCGTGTGTCCCATTTTGATCAAGAAGCTCTTCAAGCTCTTTTGGTGCAAAATCCTCAAATTACCCAACAAGAGCTTGCGACAACTTTAAATTGTTCACAAAAAACAATTTCCAATCAATTGCATGCACTTGGCAAAGTCCAAAAGTTTGGGAAATGGGTTCCTCATGAGTTGACCGACAACAACCGTAATCAAAGCGTCACAATTTGCAGTTCGCTCCTCTCTCGTCAAAACCGTTTGCCGTTTTTAGAGCAAATTGTTACCGGAGATGAAAAATGGGTGCTGTATGTTAATTTGAAAAGGCGGCCTCAATGGTTGGACAAAAATGAGGCTCCGCAGCCCACGCCAAAACCTGACTTGCATGCGAAAAAAGTGATGTTGTGTGTTTGGTGGAATTTTAAAGGAATTCTTCATTATGAACTTTTACCATCTAACCAAACCATTACAAGTGCAGAGTATAGTGCCCAATTGGAAAGCTTAGCCCAAGCTTTAAGAGAAAAAGAACCCGCGCTGATTAATCAGAAGGGCGTAATTCTTCACCACGATAACGCACGACCGCATACTGCAAGAATCACTGCTGAAAAACTGCGCCAGTTGGAATGGGAAGTTCTCCCTCAACCTGCATATTCTCCTGATATTGCCCCTTCCGATTACCATTTGTTTTGTTCTTTGCAAAACTTTCTTCTTGGAAAAAAATTTAATAATGAAGAATGCCTCAAAAATGCACTGACCGAATTTTTTGCATCAAAATCACAAGAATTTTACAACAGAGGGATTAAAATGCTTCCTGAGCGTTGGGCACAAGTAGTAGAAAACAACGGCAACTATATTGTTGATTAAATTTTGTTGTATTGTTTAAATAAATTCGATTTAAAAAAGTATTAGAAAACGACATTAATTATTACTAGACCTAATAGTAGCCAACATTTGTTGAGTGGTTGAATGTCTGGCAGTATTTTAAGCACTTTACATGAATTACAGACATTGCTTTGCTCCACCCATTTATCTATACATTATTTGACTCTTGCATGTTGCCCTACCTGGGATTGAACTCACAATCTTGGTATACATCAGGATGATGTTTCAACAGAGCTATCTTTCCAGGGCCTTTCAGTTATTTCATTTAACTAGGTCGACTAGTGTGTATGGGATACTGATGGTTTTTTAAAAACTCTTGAGTTTATTTATCAACTAGGGGCCTGGTGCACGAATTTGTGCATGGGTAGGGTCTCTCTGAGTGGCTTGCAGGTAATAAGCTGAAACCAGCAGTCCAAAGCTGCCTGCAGCTCCTACCTGCTGCTTCCACTCATCCTAGCCCTACTGTGCCTGCCACTGGCTCATGCCCAATCAATCAGTCCTGATTAGGAGAGGCTCACGCTGCCACTGCAGTACTCGACAGCCATCAACCCTGCGTCTAGTGCCCTCCCAAGGGAAGTGATCTGCAGGATCGGGCTAAAACTGGCTCTCCGATGTACCCCGAGGGGTCCCGGATTGTGAAAAGGTGCAGACGAGGCCAAGGGACTCCACTCGTGCATAATCAGGGCTGGGGAGGAACACAGGACGTTGGCCATCTGGGGAGGGACCATGGGAGGACTCCAGGGTATTTCTGGTCTGTCTTGCTCAGTCCCGATAAGCTGGACCCCAGCAGCAAGCTAACATCTGCCACCGGTGGGCAGTGCACATCATAGTGAGCAGTTGAGCAGCCTTAGCATATCATTAGCATATTATACTTTAGTTGTTCAGTTGTTCTGCGTTTGGTCTATTTGCATATTACTCTTTTATTGTGTAAGATTCCTTTTTTCCCCCTAATTTTTAGTTTACATATTTATCAATTTTCTTTTTATATTATTTTATATAATATATTTACATTATAAAATATTATGTAATTTTCTTTTTTATTTTTCCCCTGTAGATGTAACAGAAGCGTGCTTCAGATATTGCAGTTCTTGTTTAAGAATGAAAGTGTTGCCTTAACCGGTTTGGCTCAGTGGATAGAGCATCGGCCTGCGGACTGAAGGGTCCCAGGTTCGATTCTTGTCAGGAGCATGTATCTTGGTTTTGGACACATCCCCAGTAGGGGGTATGCAGGAGGCAGCTGATTGATGTTTCTCTCTCATCAATGTTTCTAACTATCTCCTTTCCTCTCTGTAAAAAAAACCACAATAAAATACATTTTTAAAAAAATGAAAGTGTTTAAGAATATATAATTGCCTTTAAGTTCAGCTAGGGCCACATCTGCTTAGTTTTTTGTTGTTGTTGTTGTTGTTTTTAATATATTTTATTGATTTTTCACAGAGAGGAAGAGAGAGGGATAGAGAGTTAGAAACATCGATGAGAGAGAATCATCAATCAGCCGCCTCTTGCACACCCTTCACTGGGGATGTGCCCACAACCAAGGTACATGACCTTGACCGAAATCTAATCCGGGACCTTTCAGTCCACAGGCCGATGCTCTATCCACTGAGCCAAACCGGTCCTGGCTGCTTAGTTTTGATAAACAGTATTTCTTATACCCTTTAGATACTAGATAACCTGTAATTTTAGTTTGGATAGCTTTTTAATCCAAGAATGGTTATAAATTTCCAAGTGGTCAGAGAATTTTGTTGTTGTGAGATTGTTTTTATTTTATTTTTGTATTGGAGTCCAAAATTGTGATTTTCAAAAGGGAATTAATTTTTCTTCATGGTATAGTTAATGTTTATAGTTTTTTCTTCGTTCATATTTGGAAAGTATATTCTATAAGAGTTCACTAGTTACATCAGTTTTTCTCATCAGCATTCTATAGAACACTAACTTCTTAAATGTTACCTGAGATAAAGAGGTTCTGTGTCAAATAATTTGGGGAAACCACATAAAGCAGGTTTAATTATAGCAGGACTGTTTTGATTCCTTAATCTACTAATATGTAATATAGTTTAAGAAGGAGGGAGGTAAAATATGCAGCATCTTCAAAACTATTCAAAAGAGTTACCTCATAGCCTGACTTTTCCCCTGCATATTAGATAATATTAGTGAGGTTCTTCAGGTATCTTGTTCACTTACCGTCTTCATAAGCTGGTCCTTCTTACTATGGGAACTATGAATCAAACCTTCCATTTGTAATTTAGTAGGCTCTTTTATTTATAGACTCTCTAGTTTCCAGAATCCTATAAATTCATTATTTTTAGATTCCAGTAACATTGATTATTTTAATGGCCTCCTGAGCTTGTAGGCCCATTGCCAGCCATATTATCCAGAAGTCCCTCAAATGTTGAAACTTAACTATCTGAAGGGAAAGAATTAATGCTTCTTTTGTGTGTGTGTGTGTGTGTGTGTGTGTGTGTGTGTGTGTGTGTGTGATAAAACTTAATCCTCACCAGAGGATATATTGCGAGAAAGGAAGGGGGGTGGAGAGAGATAGACAGGCAGACATAGATGTGAAAGAGAAACATTAATCTGTTGCCTCTTTTATGAACCCTGACCAGGGATCAAAACTGCAACCTAGGAATATGGCCTGACTGAGAATCGAACTCAGGACCTTTTGGTATATAGGATGGCACAACAACAAACTGAACCATCCAACCAGAGCTTTTATAATTTTTTACAAGAGTTTTTTTCCATACCTGTGTCATAAACTTACTACTCTTTGAGAAATTAGCTAGATCTTAATTAAATTGTTTGTTATTAATGCCATTAAAAAATAGGAATTAGCCCTAACCAGTTTGGCTCAGTGGAAAGTGTCGGCCTACAGACTGAAAGGTCCCAGGTTTGATTTCAGTCAAGGGCATGCATGTACCTTGGTTGTGGGCACATTCCCAGTAGGAGGTGTGCAGGAGGCAGCTGATCGATATATTTCTTTCTCATTGATGTTTCTAACTCTCTATCCCTCTCTGTAAAAAATCAATAAAATATAAAAAAAGGAATTATTCTTTGATGCCTCACTTAATATCATAGTCCCTAAAGTATTCCCTATAATGTTGCATAGAAATTTTCTTTTTGAGTATTCAGTAACATAATAATGGCTAACATTTATTGACATCTGAAAGTGTGGAGGGCCACTTTGTATACAACCCTCCATGCTGGTCACCATATATTAATAACTTAGGGTTTATATCATTTTCACAGATTAAAGTTCCAGATCATTAATTCTTGTGTATTTTATTCTAGGTTAATGGGAAAGGTTCCTTATGGTGTGTTGATCCAGAATATAAACCCAATCTTATGCAAGCACTGAAGAAGCAACCTTTCCCTTCAGCATTAACATCTCCAGAAAGGTATGAGAATTTCCATATAAGTTTCAATGGTGCTTTATAAGATTTTCCTGTATGAGATGGAGAAACTCAACAAAGTGTAGAGGTTTGGCATTTTTTTAATTGACAGCTATTTATGGATAAGACATTAGTGTAAGGCAGTTTTACTTATAGTCTAACTTGTGTTATTAGGAAACAGGATATTGGATAGTTAAGAGCATAAATTATGGAAAATGTAGTCAGTACTGAATATATTATAACTAAACTTTAAAGATAGTTATATAATTTTAGTTACAAAAGCCTAAATCATTTTAATTGTCAATACCAATGCTGACCTAATGATGTGGGAAATTAAAGGTATATTTTAAAATGTTTAAGATAATTGTTTGTAATTGTAACATTTTGTTTTGATTTTGCAGGTAAATACAGTTGTAATGTATTTTCTTGCCTTTTGCTTTCAAACTCAGTGACTACTATTTGTCTTATAGCTTTCCCATTTTAATCAGCTTAACAATAACCCACAACCTTTGGACCAACTAGCTTTCCCATTTTAAATTGCATCTGAAAATGATATGACTCCTTAAATCTGATTTTGTTTCCTTTTTTCTAGAGAAGTCTTGAAAATCTTTTTGAATTCTATTAATGTATATTCATTTGAGTTCAAAATGCCAGATTTTGTCAAGATATTTTTAAGAGTTTCTGTAATGGTTAATGTGATTTTTGGGAAATTTTTTAAAAATATATTTTTATTGATTTTTTATAGAGAGGAATAGAGAGAGATACAGAGCTAGAAACATCGATGAAAGAGAAACATTGACCAGCTGCCTCTTGCATACCCCCTACTGGGGATGTGCCCACAACCAATGAATATGCCCTTGACCGGAATCGAACCGGGGACCCTTCAGTCCGCAGAATGATGCTCTACCACTGAGCCAAACCGGTTTCGGCGGGAAATTTTTAAACCTTTTTAATTAAAGTAATAAGTGGAAAATTTCAAATATACAAAAAAAGTAGGGAGAAAGTTATAATGAACTCCCAGCTACAACAATTATCACCCCTTCATATCCTAGTTTCTTAAAATAATATTAGATAACTTTTGTAGGTAGCTGAAATACAGTAAAATAAATAAATAAATAAATAAGGCTGATGCTAGAATTTATGTAAATACTAGAGACCTGGTGCACGAAATTCATGCACGCAGGGATGGTCCCTCAGCTGGGCGTGCGCCCTCTCACAGTCTAGGAGCCCTTGAGGGATGTACAACTGATGGCTTAGGGAGTGGGCCTAAGCCGGCAGTCGGACATCCTTAGTGCTGCCACGGAGGCGAGGCAGGAGGGGCTCCTGCCACTGCCACTGCGCTTGCCAGCTATGAGCCTGGCTTAGGGCTTCTGGATGAGTGGCGCTTCCCCTGTGGGAGTGCACTGACCACCAGGGGGCAGCTCCTGCATTGGGCATCTGCCCCCTGGTGGTCATTGCGCATCATAGCAACCAGTTGTTCTGCCATTCAGTTGATTTGAATATTAGCCTTTTATTATACAGGACTCTTCGAGATTTTAAACTTATTAAACATATTAGTGGGTAAAAGGATCATTGAACAAGAACTACTGAGTGATTCATTCTTATGAATGAAATCTAGAAATTATCAGATTATATCTTCATTGTTTAGGAGTTGATATCTTTATTATTTAATATTGGTGCTTATATTCTGGTTAAAAAAATGATAATTTAGAAATGGATAAGTTCGGTGAAGGTCACTTATATGTTTTATTTAGCTATGCTATTTTTTAAGTTAAAGATTAAATGGGAGCCCTGGCTGGTGTACTTCAGTGGTTATAGCGTCAGCTCACATACTGAAGGGTAGAGGGTTTGATTTCCCGTCAAAGGCACGACATACCTCAGTTGCAGATTCTTCCCTGGCCTGGATGGGTTGGGTGCAGGAGGCAACCAATCAATGTGTCTCTCACATTGATGTTTCTCTCTCTCTCTCTCTTCCCCTCTTCCCCCTCCCTTCCACTCTCTTCATAAAGGCTATAATCTTTGACCTTAAAACATTACATAGTATTTTTATTTTTTAAATTTAGTTTTTCTGTTAATCCTCACATGAGGATATTCTTCCATTGATTTTTTTTTTTTTTTAAGAGAGAGAGAAAGAGTGTAAGGGGGGGGGGGGGTATTGATTGGTTGCATCCCACATAGGCCCCAACCAGGGCTGGGGGATTGAGCCTGTTACTGAGGTACGTGCCCTTCACTGGAATTGAACCTGGGGACCCTTCAGTCCGTGGGCTGATGCTCTCTCTCTCTCCACTGAGCCAAACTGACAAGGGCACTTAACTATTTTTAGAAACATTTTTTTCCTTTACGTTATTTGACAAAATGATAGTTCCAGCTGACCTGCTTTTGTGTGGTCCTTTCATAATTGGTAATTCTGAGGAAGAGAATGAGATACAATATATATAAAACTGTGAAAAGAAAATAGACTTAATTTAGTTAGAAAAATATATTTGTTAACACTGTTACAAACTCCAAAAAACAGAAGTAGTTTGTCCCAAAAATGTTTTAATCTTTGGAGTTAAAAAGAAATTGCTGGTCTCTTTTCATGGATATAGAAAGTTCAATATGATATTTACTAATAAAATTAGGAACTTAATCTGTTTTGCATCATTATCATTTAGTGCTTCTTAAACATTTGTTTTCATAAACTCTTTAATTTTTGTGGTAATACCTATAGTGAATAATGTCAAACTTAAGCATTCAATACAGACCAAATACTACTGTGTATTGCTATTGTTCCAAGTATTTTATTTATGTTTTTATTGTTCCAAGTATTTTAAATGCATTGTTCTTATTTAATTGGCAGAGCATCTCTGTGTGGGAGGTTTAATTAGTCCTATTTTACAGATGAAGAAACTAAGAGATTAATTATTTTGCTTAAGAACATCACATAGTTGTGATTTAATCTTGATCTTATGCTTTGGCATTCTCTTCCTAAACTGAGTAATGTTAAACAAAGAAAACAAGGTAAAAATTGTTTGGAATTTTTTTTTTTTTTAGAAATTAGTTGTGTTTGTGACTAAGTACTGTTACAAGCAAAATAAATATTTTTATAAATTTTTTTGTCTTATCTCTTTTTCAGTGGCTCTTTATCACCTCACTACTTAAGCTCTGTACTCAAGCAGAATCAGGTGCAAACCCTCAAAGGTATGTATAAGATCAGTATTTTAAATCATAGAATTTTAGGTAAAATATTAGGGTTGAAATTTTTTTATAATTATAAAACAATTATAGGTTTATTGTAGAAAAATTTTAAAATAAAAATATTTATAAAGAAGTAACTAAAAACTTACCCTTTCTACTATAAACATTTTGATATAATTGCTTTGGTTCTTTTGTTTTTTTCATGAGTAGGTATGTTTGTGTACATGCACAGACACACACATAGACATATCTTTTCTCCAAATAGCTGGACTCATACTATATACACTTTTTTATCCCATTTTCATTTCCTTTAACATGTATTTTTTTCTAAAAAATAGGAAGATATTTCTCAAAGTACGTCTTAGACTAGAATAGGAGGTTAGCAATTTATGGCCTACGAAATATACTAGTATTTGACCTGCCACTTGTTTTTGCATAGCCTGTAAATTAGGATCATTTTACACTTGTAAGTAGTTGAAAAAATGAAAATAATATTTTGAGGCTTTTGAAAATTTGCTGCAACAGCACCTCTCTATTGTATCCTTGGTTTTGCCTCTTGGCCCACAAAGCCTAAAATATTAACTTATTGACCCTTTACAGAAGTTTGCCAGCTCCTGAGTTACATAAAGTTCAGGATAATTTTTATAGGTTTTAATTTAAGTTAAAAGAACTTTAAGAAGACAATAAGTTAATTTTTAAAATTTTATAAACTTCTTTTTGAAAGTATATAAAAGTTCTGAATTTTAGTGGGTTTTACCCTACTCATAATTGATATTATAGATTAGTAATGCGTTAATATAAAGTTTCTAACATTGCTTTGGAGCCTAGATAAATTTCTGTGATTTTTAAAAATTAGAAATTCACAGACCAAAAGCATTTCCATATATCAGAGACACATTGTCTCTTTGGAATTTCACTAACCTGAGCAAAGGAAGCAGTATAATATTGGTCTTTAACAAGGGAAGGAGAGAATGGAAAAAGTTAAGAAAACTGCAAGGAAGTTTAGTGTATATGGAGTCCACTTTAGATATCTTCAGACTTAACGTAAGGTTAAGTATCCATTTTTCTATTATCTAATGGGTATATGTAGTTTCTCTTTATGTTTATGTATTGTTGAAACTTCCTTTATCTTTGTGTTACCTCATTAATTTCTGACGCTTACTCTTTCAAGCTCAGTTCATATACACATTTTGAGAACATTTTCTTCATGAATTCTGGGGTTTATTTAGAATCTTGTCTTGTTCTTTTCTCATCATCTAAATTCTGCTTCTAAATTCCCTTTCGGGAGCAGATACTTTCACAAGTTTCTCCTGCTAGTTTCAATCCCTAATTTTTATAATTTGTGTAGGTACTTCCCTTTCATTTAATGTTTTCTATATGTTATGCATCATCTCCCCAGTGCTGCTTACACTTTATTTCCCTACATCTCTCTACTCATAAGTCTTAGATCTATTCCCCTAGTAAGAAGTAACTTGGTGGGTAAGGTATTAGTATTCTGAGATAAGAAAAAAAAAATGCAGGTCTAGCCTGGAATAGACTTTACAAAAACTTAAGAAAATGTATATTTAGCCGGGACCGGTTTGGCTCAATGGATAGAGCGTGAGCTTGGGGACTGAAGGGTCCCGGGTTCGATTCCGGTCAAGGGCATGTACCTCGGTTGCGGACATATCCCCAGTAGGGGGTGTGCAGGAGGCAGCTGATGGATGACTCTCTCTCATCGATGTTTCTGACTCTATCTCTCTCCCTTCCTCTCTGTACAAAATCAATAAAAATATATTTTAAATAAAGAAAAAGAAAATGTATATTTAAATTAGATTGCTTTAGGGCACTTTCATAGAATTCTGAGGAGATTTGCTTTTTATTCTGTCTAGATATGTTTTCTGGGGAAAAGTTTGAAAAATACAATACTAAGTGAATAAACAATTATTTATTCTACAAGTAATTGTTGAGTTCTTACACAGTGCTACACTGTAGTGGGTGCTTTGGGATATACAGAGATGGGAGAGACCCAGGTCCTGATCTCAGAAAACATACAGCTTAACTGAAGAAGGTTGGCTAGAATTATGCAGAGTACACTGGCAGGAGAGGAAGAGAATGGCAAATTAAGCTGAGATGTAACTCAGGAAAGGCCTTTTGAGAAGAGAAAGAATGTGTTTGAGCTGAGCTCAAAGGTTTGGAGTATACTTAACTTTGGGTAGAGGTTGGTAGAATGCAGTTACTGGGAACTGCAGACTGAAGCCTACAAGTATAGGAGAAGACCAGGCAGTCTTGGTCTAGTGGCTGTAGATGTGATTATTCGACATGAACAAGACAAATGAAAAAGCTTAAGCAAATCAAGGAGAACTTAGTTAACATGAGCTTGAACTTTTTCCTGTATTTAAAATTTTAATTAACATATAGTTCCCTACGTTTAACCCTTACAACAACTCTTTGAGGTATTGTTACTATATTTACAAATAAGGACACTGTTGTTTGGAGAAATTAAGTAACTTTCTCAAGGTCACATAATTAGTAAATGCTATTGAAAGAACTTTAATTTCAGAGCCTACACTCCTACCAGATATGGGACATTGGGGGAGCTACTGAAGGGCTTTAAAGAATGCGGAGACATTATCGGTTTTGTAAAGATTACTTAGGTACACTGTTGGGCTCCAATGTAAGAGTCCAATGTTAGATTCATCTATCACTTCATGGAAACATCTTTCTAATTATTATATTAAAGCTATATTTAGACACTTAAGAGAGTAACACATTATGCATAGGAACTTCAGAAACTAGTATCAGCCAGGATGGGTGCAGCAGTTCGTTTAAAGTATAGTTGTCTTGCCTTGGTTAGTGTGGCTTTGTTGGTTGAGCGTCATCCCACGTACCGAGAGGTCAGTTCAATTCCCAGTCAGGACACATTCCCAAGTTTCAGGCTTTGTCCTAGTGGGGAGCATGCAGGAGACAGCAGATCTATGTTTTTCTTTCATTGACATTTCTCTCTCTCTCCCTTTCTCTAAAATTAATAAAATCACATAAGAAATAAAAAAATTTTAAATAGTCTATAATAATAAGAGTATAATATGCTAATTAGACCAGACAGCCAAACAACCTCACAGATGTCATTTCAGGCATCCTTCTGGATGACTTTCCAGAAGAAGCCACAGCAGCAGGGGTGAGGCAGAGGCGATTAGGGGCGTTCAGGCAGGTAGGTAGAGTTGGTTAAGGACGATCAGGCAGGCAGGCAGAGTGGTTAAGGTTGATCAGGCAGGCAGGAGAACAGTTAGGAGCCAGCAGTCCCAGATTGCAAGAGGGTTCAAGCCAGGCTGGGAGGGACACCTCCTCCCCCTGCACGAATTTCGTGCACCGGGCCTCTAGTAAATAAAAAGTATAGTTGTCACTCTTGTTCACCTTAAAATGACTAATTATATATACTAGCATCTATGTTATAGTATTGTATAACAGTAGCAGGTGGCACAGGAATCTCATACTGAGATAGTAAAACAAAACCTTTTTTGAAAATTCATCAGTGAAAAACAATGCAGACAAAAATGGAACTTACATTCTAATTGTAGATTTCAGTATTTATCTATAAGCACTAGTACTACAACAGATATAAAATTTAGGTAGTTAATGGTGATGTTAGAGGTTAAGTGCAAATCTAAATTCAATTTAAGGTTGCAAATTAGCATAATTTGTATCTTTATTGAAATGAAAGTAAACCCATGGCTCAGGCAGTTTTAAGTGTTGTGATTTATTGAAATTGCTCTCCTAAAGAATCTTTAAAGAATCACAAGAGACAGCTTCTCTATTTGGATGCTCTGTAAATGTGTATGTTTTGATGGAGGCAATAAATCTTCTTATTGTTGCTCTTATATCCACTTAAATTTTGCCTCTATGCTTTTCATATCATTTTTTAAGCAAATGGACTTGAGAATTAGATAATAGAAACTTGTTATCTTATAATCTTCACTCTCACAGGGCTAAAACTTAGGCCTTTTACATTTTTTCTCAACTACTATTAATTTTTTAGCAACAAGTAAGGCTAAGGAAATGTGCAGGTTCACACTATAGTCAGAAATTTATTTGAGCCAGTCATTAAATCAGTTGTATATTTTAAACTCTAATCAGAACTAGGAAGGCTAAAAAGGGAAATAATATGATTTCAAACTCTTGTTTCTTAAAATCACTATTTGGATCACTTTTGTGGTTCTAATGACAACTGACTTTCAACTGTAAGTGAATTATTTGCTTAATCTAAGAAGTGTCAGAAAATATATACAAAAGACTTATAAAAACAAAAAATTTTTTCTTCATGGAACTGGATATGTTAGGTAATATAGCCAATAGTACGTGTATAAAAACAGAGCCACCTGTAAAATAGTGTTAAATACTTATCAATGAAAAAATATGAGGTGTTTTTCATTGTAACAATAAATAAGTCTTCAGTTTAATCTTAATACCAAGACAGTTTGGGTGATTTTGATTCCTGGTCAGGGTACATACCTAGGTTGGGGATTCAATTCCTGGTCAGGGCACATAGGAGAGGAGACCAATTGATGTTTTTCTCACATGTTTCTCTCTCACATTGATGTTTCTCTCTTCTCTCTCTCCTCTCTAAAAATCAAATATATATATAAAATCCATCCTCCGGTGAGGATTAAAGAAAAAAAAAAAATGGCCCTAACCCGTTTGGCTCAGTGGATAGAGTGTCAGCCTGTGGACTGCAGGGTCCTAGGTTCGATTCCGGTCAAGGGCATATATTATACCTTGGTTGCTGGCATATCCCCTAGTAGGGGGTGTGCAGGAGGCGGCTGATCAAATGTTTCTCTCTCGTCGATGTTTCTAACTTTCTATCCTTCTCCCTTCCTCTCTGTAAAAAATCAATTTATTTATATATATATAAAATGTTGAAAAGCTGTACAGGGAGCTTTTGTTCCAAGAAGTTCAAGTTGTATCTTGGACAAATCATTGATAATCAGGTGTTCTTGATTACCAAGTGTTACGCTTTCTTTTTCTAATGAATATTGTAATGGTGAAGTTAAACTTTAAATCAGAGTTGGCATTAATTGGCAAGGCATTGTGGGAAGCATACTTATAAATGTTCTAAACCAAACAAATCAAATGTAGATAAAATCTTCTTGCAAAGACGTTTTTGGTTCTATAAAGTTAGTTTTATGGGGAGAGTTCAAATTAATTAGGTATAATAAGTTTTCTACAAGAAATAAATCTATTTAAGAAAAACATCTATTATTCTACTATTACAAAAATAGTACCTCATTTTGTTATCACTTTAAATATTTGAAAACTAAGAATAGAAATCGTGTTCATGCAGCTTACTTACAATTGCCAAAATAAGCCTATTATCATTTTTCTTTAGTTTTAGGTATAGTGTTCAGAAATATGACTTTTTTAATTATAATGGAAGTTAGAGATACACTAAATTTTAATAAGGTTTTATATGTTACATTTATAAGATAAGTTTTATAAGATTATAAATTTTCTGAAATTATTTCCTCATAATTTCAATATTAGATTTGCTCCTTCCCCACCACATCCTTTATATACATATAAATTTATTTATTTAATTTATATATATGTATAACTTATATATAAAATTGGAAATAAGGAAGACCTTTTTCTGTTAAAAGAAAATTTATTTCATGGAGCAGGAAAATCTGTGTATTTGCATAATGCCATGCAAGTTGTGTCCTGCATAAGGACATTGGGCTGAGAAAAGAGTGGGGTCTGAAATCCAGTCCACCTTCCAGTCTTCACGCTGTGTGCCTTGATACAGGGAAGCGTTCACACGGAGGCAGAATTGCCTTTTTTCCAACTCACACAGAGATACAATATGGGCTAGCGGCTGCACCTTTTTCACTTCAAAGACACATTAGAATTCTGAACTCTATCAAAGTTGTAGTCAAGTCTCTTTCTAAAAGGAATAGGAGAGGTCTTTGTTTTGCTAGCCTCGTGGCTATGACATGTGGGAATCATTGATTTTTTTTTTTTTTCCACTTGCTGCTCTTTCTGCTTAAATGCTTTTCCTTCAGATTTGCACATGGCTTCTTCATTCTCTGACCTTCCTGAAGTCTTTGCTCAACTGTTACCCTAACCTCTGTATTAAAAATTGTAACTACTGCCAAAACTGGTTTGGCTCAATGGATAGAGCATCGGCTCGGGGACTGAAAGGTCCTGGGTTCGATTCTGGTCAAGGGCATGTACCTTGGTTGCGGGCATATCCCCAGTAGGGGGTGTGCAAGAGGCAGCTGATTGATGACTCTTTCTCATCAATGTTTCTAACTCTCTATCTCTCTCCCTTCCTCTCTGTACAAAATCAATAAAATATATTAAAAAAAAATTGTAACTACTTTTCTCAGTATCTCCCTTTCTTCTTAATTTTTCTCCCTAGTGCTTATGATTCTCTGGCTTATTGTACTTTAATTATGTCTTTGTGTTTTGAGAAGTTAGGGATTTTCCTGTTTTGTTTTCTCTCCTATATGAAATGATGTCAGGCTTAAAATAGGACACTTGGTTTATTGAATGAATAACAGAATCAAGAATTTCCAGTATATTCTATCATTTTCTGCAGAATTTCCTATTAAGGGCTGATGATGGAGTAAAAATTGAATGCTTGAGTTCTGGAGGTAGACTACTGAGGTTCAAATCCTACTTCTCATTCCTAGAGATTCATCTTCTGTGTCTGTTTTCCCACCTTTATGATGGAAATACTAACAGTACACATATCATAAAGTTGTGAAAATTAGATGAGTTAATAGTACTTAAAATATTCCAAGACAATTGAAAGTACTCAATGTTAGTAATTTTAGTGATACTAATCTAAGGAAATGAGGGCAAAGATATAATATACTTACTCTTTCCACATTTATTAAGGACCTACTGTTGTTCCCAGGTATTGTGGAAGTCAAAAGGTAAAATGTTTCCTACCCTAAAGAAGCTGACAATTTAATTGGAAAGACATTCATGTAGACTTTGTTTCATGAAGTCACATTTTATTAAGGGAAAAGAGCTCTAATAGTATGTGTATTTCCTCCTAACAACCATCTTCTGATTTACTTAAAGTCAGCAACAAACATTGCCTGCCTTTATGGAATTTACAGTGAAGTTGGGGGAAGAACAAGTCAGTATCTTCATGACTTTATTATTTAAAATAACTTTATAATTAGGTATTGCAAGTAAAATGGAAAACTGGGATAATAGAAGTTTTCTAGCTTTCAGATAGAAATGGGAGGTTTCATGTCTGAGTCTTATTTTTAACTTATCCTTTATAATCTAAAAAGTTAAAATATTTTTTAACTTTTCTTTCACATTTTAGGTTATACCATTTCACTTTTATTCAGTTACAGTTATTCACATTAATAGATCACTAAGATGGAGAGAGTCTTTCAGTAGAAAAATAGATATGAGAGCAAATGATCTTATCTGGAGAAGAACCTGCTGGTTTTACCAGCCCATTTTTCTTATGGAATATTCATAATTATGTTTGACCTCTTGAATATTATATAAATCTATAGTACAAATAAGTTTATATATAATTATGACTAAAGATATTAGTACTAATATTTTTGTGCCAGCAATAATTATTCCTTTAGCATCTGTAGAGTCATATGATCTAGACTGCCCAATTACATTTATTTTTATTTCCTTTAGCATGTGATTAATGCATTACTTTATAACTGCAGATATGCATAGATAAGGATATTTTTTAAATGTTAAAAAGTAATAATGCCTTAATATACATTCCTAGGTAATTTAGTCTGTTTAAGGAGACATCTAGAATACTATTGAACTGGAGTTTAGGTTTTTATTTTTATTGTAAATAAGAATAAAACTTTTATTATCTCTATACCTGACAATCCTCCTTTTTTCAATACTATTCACAAAACTTTATAATTTTAAGTGAACAAAAGCAGATGGCAAAATATGTACTTCATTTTAAGTTTTTTTAAACAAAATTTAAAAAAAAAATATTGAATTTATTGGGATGACATTGGTTAATAAAATTACCTAAGTTTTAGGTGCACAATTCTATAATGCATCATCTACATAATTGTATTGTATGTTCACTATCCCAACTCAAGTCTCCCTCCATCACTATTCTTTTTTTAAATTAGAATACATACCAAAATTTTAATATTGGTTACTTTTGGGTATATGCAAATGCCTATTATAAAAAAAACATTAAAACTGTTAGTTTTCCTTTTTCAGAATCTGATATTGATGCTGCCACTGCAATGATGCTCTTAAATACTTCTATAGAACAAGGAATTCTAGAATGTAAGTAATCATGCTTTATTTTTAAAATACATTTTTGTGAGTGCCTTTTTCAATATAATCTAGAATGCAAGATATTTAAATGGTATAGCAAATTATTCTTTCCAGCTAAGTTGTAATTTTTATTTGAATAATTTAATTTCTGTTTTACTATATTTCCATTTCTTTACTGAGCATTTGAAAGATTGAGACTAATGCTATGATAGATCATATTACATTGGCCAAGAAATGAAATAGTGTATTTAGAAATTAAGCTTGGCCCTAACCGGTTTGGATCAGTGGGTAGAGCGTCAGCCTGTGGACTCGAGGGTCCCAGGTTCGATTCTGGTCAAGGCATGTACCTTGGTTGCGTTTCTAACTCTCTATCCTTCTCTCTTCCTCTCTGTAAAAAATCAAATGTATTTTTTAAAAATTAAGCTTGAAGATTTAAAAGTAAAAAATGAAAACTATAAGTAAGAAAATATAGGAAAGTATAATTATAACGTTGGAATAGGAAAAGTTTTTTAAATATGGCTACCATCAATAAATCAACAAACAACAAGTGCTGGTGAGAATGTGGAGAAGAGGGAATCATAATACACTGCTGCTGGGAATATAGACTGGTACAGCACTAAAAAAATTAAAAATGTAACTGCTATTTGATCCAGCTGTTCCATTTCTGGGAATATATTCTAAGAATCCTAAAACACCAATGAGAAAGAATATATTCATCCCTATGTTTATAGCAGCATTATTATGGTGGCTAAGATCTGGAAACAGCCCAAGTATATGAGTGGATAAAAAAGTTGTGATACATCTACACAGTGGAATACTATGCAGCTATAAAAGAGAAGGATCTCTTACCCTTTGCATGGATGGACCTAGAGACCATTATGCTAAGTGAAGTAAGCCAATCAGAGAAAGACAGATATCACAGAATCTCACTTATACGTGGGCACTATTGAACAAAATAAACTGATGAACAAAATAGGTCCAGAGGCATATTAATAATTATAACTACTGTTCTCAGTATCTCTTTCCTCTTTTCTCCCTAATGCTTATGACTCTCTGGAGTTGGGCAGGAGCTAGGTGGAGTGGGAAAATACAAGGAAAATAGGAGACATCTATAATACTATCATATCTAATAAAAGAGTAATATGCAGATTGACCATCACTCCAACACACAATATGGCTGCCCCCATGTGGTCAAAGATCCTGCCCCTATGCGGACACAAGATGGCCAGCAGAGGAGGGCAGTTGGAAGGGACCAGGCCTGCAAGGGAGGGCAGTTGAAGGTGATTAACCCTGCAGGGGAGGACAGTTAGGGAGGACCAGGCTGGCAGGGGAGGGAAGTTAGGGACAAATGGGCTGCCAGGGGAGCAGTTAGACATAATCAGGCTGGCATGGGAGTGGTTAGGGGGTGATCAGGCTGGCAGGCAGAAGTGGTTAGGGGCAATCAGGAAGGTAGGCAGGCGAGCGGTTGGGAGCAAGCAGTCCTAGATTGTGAGAGGGATGTCCAACTGCCCTCGAGGGGTTCCAGATTGGAGAGGGTGCAGGCTGGGCTGAGGGACAACCCCCCCTCCCTGCCCCCATGCACGTATTTCGTGCACCAGGCCTCTAGTCCATATAATAAAAGAGTAATGTACAAATCGAATGATGGAATGACTGATCGCTATGACAGGCAATGACCACCAGAGGACAGACGCTCAATGCAGGAGCTGCCCCCTGGTGGTCAGTGCACTCCCACAGGAGGTGCCTTGCTCAGGGTCTCTGCTCAGGGTCTCACAGCTGGCAAGCACAGTGGTGGAGGCAAGACCTTCTCCCGTCTCCACAGCAATGCTAAGGATGTCCAACTGATAGCCTAGGGGAGTGGGCCTAGCTGTCAGTTGGACATCCCCTGATGGCTCCTGGACTGCGAGAGGACGCAAGCTGGGCTGAGGGACCCCCAAGTGCAAGAATTTCATGCAGCGGGTCTGTAGTCAACAATAAAAAATAAAATAAAATAAAATTTAAAAAGATATAAGTACAAAATCCATGAAAGAAAAAACTTTAGAGTTTTGACAAAACAAGTCTTTAAGAAAAGTAACAAGCAAAACACTGGGACGACATTTTTTATAGATGGGTCTCAAGAAGAAATACACATTGACAACACTTGTTTGAAAAGATATGCAACTTCTCTAGAAATCAAGGAAATGCAGTATGAAACATTGAATATTGAAATGCTTTTTTGCCCATGAAATTATGAAAAATTTAAATGATTTATAATGTTAAGTGTTAAGTATGGGAACAGGGTATTGTCCTAGACTGTAGGGTAAAATTTGGTCCAGCCATTTTGAGGGTAATTTGGAAATACTAATTGCATCTTTAAGTGTGCATATCCTTTTACTTAATAATTCCATATCTTGATATTTTCCTAAAAATTACTTGCATTTGTGTGAGAAAAGGCATCTAGAAGAATTTTTATTGCAATGTTATTTGTAGTAATGAATAATTGGGAACAACCTACAAATACCAACCAGGAGGTGGTTAGCAAACCATTGTAATGGTACAGTTAATGTAGTGGAGACATACATATTGAGGCATTCTGTGCAAGCAGTTCAAAATAATTCTGTTTTACCTCAAAAGATCAAGACATAAATGATGTTAAAATGTTTCAGATTAATACCCACAGAATGATATGGTCTTTATTTTTTGTGTGCTTTTTAAATATTTTTATTAATTTTAGGAAGGGAGGAGAGAAAAATAGAAACATCAGTGATGAGAATCATTGATCGCCTGCCTCTTGCACATACCCACAATGGGGATTGAGCCCACAACCTGGGCATGTGCCCTGACTGGGAATCAAACTGTGACCTCCTGGTTCATAGGTCAATGCTCAACCACTGAGTTATGTCAGCGGGCATGTTTTTGTTTTTAAGAACTCACAAAACATTCCAACTTTACAGCCCTTATATTCAGTAATGATATAGTTGTTTCAAATGGCTTGTTTTTGCAACCAAATGCATTTGACCTATCGAAAGTTTTATTTTCCACAGGTGAGAAGCCTCTTTCTCTTAAAACAGCTATGCAGAAAAAAAGGAGTTATGGCAATGCATTTAATCATCGCAGTGCTATGCGATTACAAGAGAGTGATTCTTTAGCCACCAGCATCGATCCAAAAGAAGACCACAATTACAGCGCAAACAGCACGGCAACGCAGCGTTGCGCGTCCAGGTCCAGTGTGTCTTCTCTGTCTTCTGTGGATGAAGTATATGAATTTATCCCAAAGAGTAGTCATGTGGGAAGTGATGGCAGTGAAGGATTTCACAGTGAAGAAGATACTGATGTTGATTACGAATATGATCCTCTTGGAGACAGTGGCTATGTATCACAGCCTTGTGTAGATAACTCTGCAAAGGGGCAGCCAGGCAAAAAGAGGCGGAAAACGTCATGTCAAGAAATTGATGAGGAGCTCAAAGAGGCAGCTGGGTCTCTACTTCATCTTGCTGGAATTCGTACATGTCTGAGTTCCCTAATAAGTACTGCAAAGACACAAAATCAAAAGCAACGGAAAAAATAGAAATACCTGTTAGTGTGAAATTATTTTAAAGTGTGGCAATACTGTTCTACTTAATTCTTTACAATGGATATCAAAGCCATATGGACTTATTTTTGTTTTGGGGGAGGGAGGGAAGGAATGCTAATTGTTTATTTCAAAACAGTTTTTTGTTGTTTTTTATTAAATAATTGCTGTTAGGATCATGTCCAACCATAAACATGATATGAAGTTCTAAAAGCGTAGTTTTGGTGATGTGTTTCTAAGATTTTTGAAATTTTTATGCAAAAAAATCCATAGCTTCTATCTTAAACTTGTAGGAGAAATCTTTTATTCTCAATATGCCAAAACATAGTAATTGGCAACTCAGTTTTCTTTTTCAGTCTGTAATCAACTGCTGATCTTGCTAAAAATTTTGCTCAGTCTCTCACATACTCCTGACACATGCAATCCAGTAGGATAATATTTGAATTTTTAATTGTCTTAATTTTTGTTTTTAAATTTTTTCTTGGAAGCATGACAGAGTTGAATATAAATTGGAAAAGACCCTAAATGCCTAGAAAATTCTTTTTGGTTACATAGGCAGAGAGTACAGCAAAGATTTATAAGATGTAAAAAAGGCCATTTTGTGGTATAATTTCATTTAAGAGCACTCCAATTCCTATTTTAATATCTTTATTTTACTTTTCAAAAACTTAAGCGTTTATTGAATTATTCTTTTCCAGAGTGCATTGCAACCATTGTTTAAAATATTAGACACTAGCTGTCTTTGTTGAATAGAAACTACCCAATGAGAGGATATAGCCATAGAATGTGTTATGGAGTTAACACCCATTTTGACACATTTGCAATAAGAGAACCTTTTTATTTGCTTGTTAAACGTACTGCATTCTGAAAATCTTGTAGTACAAATCGAGTGTATTTAGTGCAAATATTTTGAATATTACGTCATTATACATAAAGATAGATCATTTAGGAAAGAAAATCTGTTCAAGCTTTGTATGACTTAAATGTGTGTATACATCCAATTAAAAATGATATAACAAACCTACAGAGATAAAATACCTTCATAGATCTCAAAATTTATATAAAATTAAATCTTGCACATTATACCCTTTTGAGAAGGCAGTATAATACCTATTATGTGCCATTAATCCATGCCTAAAGATTTTGTATTACAGTTTCAAATGCGCATTGACTAAGGCATTTTAAGTATTTGAACAAATCTGCTTTTAAGAGATATTTTTTTCATATCATTTGTATAGTTTGACTATATTATTCAGAAGGTATAAGGGATACTAATAAAACTAAACTTATTTATTATATATATCTTTTTAGAATGACAGAGCAGCTTTCCAGCATCTTGTTTCATAGTGATCTTGTTTTCATTTTCTGATAATTTCATATATACATACATATATGTGTATATACATTTATACACACACATAGGTTTATGATTTTGATTTGTTACTTTCAGCTATTTCTATGACTATAAAGCATTTTTTGGATTTTTTTAAAGAGATAAATATTTTAACTTCTAAATTTTATTAGGGCAAAACTGTCATCTGTTATGTTTCTATGTTAATTGTAATAGAACCTGGATAGCTATATTCATAGAATCGGTGCTGTTGAAATTTAGTAATTTTTAAATTTGCTAATAATGAAAAATCTTAAGGATGCAGGATAAGCTATTTGGATTTTTCTTCATATATGTGACATCTACTACAGAAAGTGGCTAACTGAAGTTGACACTTTTTACTGTAGACAGTGAATATTAACACCAAAAATTGCTTTACAGTATCAAATAATACACAGATTATAAAACATCATTTTAGTAACAATATTTCTTAACTATTTACCTTGGCCCTCTCGATAGACCTTAGTAACAGTGTTTCAATGACCTGATTCCAGTTTATTTTGTTCTACTGAAATTTTTTAAAATATGTTTTTATTGATTATTAGGGAGAGGGATAGATATATAGAAACATCGATGAGAGAGAAACATCAATCAGCTGTCTCCTGCACACCCCATACTGGGGATCCAGCCCAAAAGCCAGGCATGTGCCCTGACTGGACTCGTACCAGTGACTTCTTAGTTCGTGGGTCAGTGTTAAACCGCTGAACCACACGAGCCTGGCTCTGCTGAAATTCTGTACCAAAAATATTCTCTCTGGTTCCTGTTCATCAGTGAGATAATTGTTCTAAGTAAAGGAAGAAGATAAGGAGCGGGGAAGTCATTCTCAATTTTAGTAAGATCTTCATAATTATTTTGTCTTAATACGAGTAACTAATTCTTTCGGCTTGATTTTTCTCTTCATGCATTCCAGAAATTTAAAAATTGAAGTTATATTTATCATTAGCAAAGGCAATAAACAATTTTGCACTTACAACTAACAGAAAAGTTACACAATATTTTACACTTAATTCTTGTACAGAATTCAGTGCCTAACTTCCATTTACCAACATAGTTATTTTCAAAGGGAAGAACCTTTATAATTATGGTCCCTCGTTATTAGTTCCACAAGCATGATGATCCCATTTCTCAGGTGTATTGAAATAAAAACATGGCTAATAACCACTCAGTTAAGGAAAATCACTTGAATTTCTATGGACTGGAAATTGTATTTATAAATAATATATCAACAACAAATCTTACTGTAATAAAAGCAACAATCCTGGAGAAGTAAATATTTTCAAACATAATTTTAAACTGACTTAAGCTAACATAATTTGCCTTACACCAGTATAAATTGTTAAAGCCAATTCCAGTTTATAAGTAGATCCCTAGTAAAAGTTTAGCCTCAACACAATCTTCATCTTTCACATCCCAAATATAATCAGTGTTTCTTGAATATTATATGGTTTTCAAATTTATTTGTGCAATATTTTACTAAATTAGTTAATATTTTCAAATTCAGAAAAAGGAAACAATACTCGTGTTCATGGAAAAGCTAATTATTGGTGGATCACCTCCTTTTTTCCACCTTTGAGTCTTTTCTGCTCTCCTTATAGCCAGCATGGCTTCTCTTAACTTAGGTGTCTTTGTATATAGTAAAGTTTTAGGATATATATGTTTTCTTTTGCTACTTTCTGGTATATTAGGTAAAAGGTTCAGACTAGATGGTCAGTTAAACATAATATTAGCGTGAACTCAAAGCTAGAGAAAGAGTTAAAGAGGAAATGTGTGTGACTTGGTAGACCAGGAGGCCTTCTCCAGCCTTTCCCAGCAAATTAAGCAACAGAAGTGAATACTTGACAAATTTACCTTTTGTGAAGACCATAGCATTTAAATAATTTTGAGGCTTTCTGGTTTACATCTATTTTATAGGTTTTGTTTGAAATGTATAAACTTTGATTTAAACAAAGTTTACGTCAATATGTTAATGATGTGGTCAAAATATTTATTGAAAAAAAAAGTATATTAATGTTATACCTGCCATTTTTTTTTAAAGCAATTTTTTTTTGCATCTAACTGCCAGTGCCATTGTCAAAACTTATTTTTAAAGTGTTGTACATTTCTTATTAAACTAAGTGCTTCATTTTCAAGTATTACATTGCCATCATATAGTGTATAAAAAGTATAATTGCCAATTCATTGTAACTATTATTTATTTTTAATTAAAGTGTAAGAATGCTGTTTGATTCAAAAAAATTTGAATGATACTGTTTCCTTATCCCCTTTTCTAATGTAGCATAAACATTGCCCTGAGTTTGAGTTTTAACTGCCAGTAGATGACCAGCCCAAGTCAACCCCTTCTCAGTTGCCAGTCTTTGCTCATGTTAAAACAACTTAACAGATGTTTAGTTTTTGTACCTAATCTCTGATTGTTAAAATGTTTATAAAGTTTATTTTTATCAAAGAGATGCAATTCATTATGATAAAGTATTGCAAAATAAACCTTGTTTTATAACATTTTTGTGTTTTCTGTTTTGTTTTGTTTTTTGATATGGGTAGTGTAGATGTATGTGACTCATACTCCTATACACACACACACACACTTTCCATTTTACAAAGTTGGAATATATAGACGAAAAATAAAGTTTCAATTTGAAAATTTGTAAGTCTGGGGTTTTTTTTAAAGTATTGTTTTTCTTGGTTTTTACATGTCATCTTAATCATTGACAGCTAAAGTAGTGTTGAATTATTCTCTTCCTAAAGTTGAACTTCAAAGTCACATATACATGAGATATTTTAAAATGCAACTAAGAAAATTTGAATATATTAAATTATTAAGATTATCTTAAAATACCAGTAATACCATATGTTTAAAAATTGAGGCATCCATTGTAAAATGAAATCATTTACAACCAACATCTTGATTTTTATTCCTCCTTCCCATTTCCCCTTGAAGTTCTGCACTGGTCATTTAAATGGTATTGTTTACAATAGAATTGTTCTTTTTAAATCCAGTGAGATAGTCATCTTGATTTTAAACTGCCACCCTCCTCTCTAAGCCCTTCTTTCAAGGTATCCCTTTGAAATAAGTCATTTTAAAAGTATAGCTTGCTCTAGCTGGTTTTGCTCAGTTGACAGAGCATCAGCCTGCAGACTGAAGAGTCCCAGGTTTGATTCCATTTAAGGGCACATGCCCAGGTTGTGGGCTTGATCCCCAGTAAGGAGCATGCAGGAGACAGCCGATCAATGATTCTCATCATTGATGTTTCTATCTCCCTCTCCTTTCTCAATCTAAGCTATTGTGCTCAATATTTGCAAAAGCATACAATGGAGTCCAAGACAATCTCTTCAGTAAATAGTGTTGGTAAAATTGGACAGATACATGCAAAAAAAAATTAAAGTAGGTCACCAACCTACATAATACACAAAAATAAACTCAAAATGGATGAATTTAAGACAGGAAACCATAAAGATCTTTAGAAGACTCTATAGGCAGCAAAGTATCAGACCAGATATTTGGTAGCAATATCTTCACCAATAAAGCTTCTAGGACAATGGAAACGAAGGAGAAAATAAACAAATGGGACTACATCAAAATAAAAAGCTGCACAGCAAAAGAAACCATCAA